TTGGCGCGACCTCGTCGGGGGGCCCCGCGGGGGTGGGCGGCGACGTGCGAGTGGCCTGCCCTGCCGCGGTCTCTGGCTGGGAGGGGGCGCCGGGCAACGACGCGATGTTGGCGCTCGCGGCCCCAGCCCTAATTCGCTCGAGCAAGCGCCGGGGGGGGCCCCGCTGGAGCGACGCGACCCAGGTTCGTTGCGAGTGGCTCGTGGGCGACGGCCGTGATCATGGCGTCGGCAGTGGAGGTCGGGCCATCGATGGCCTCTGAGGGTTTGGACGCGGCAGTTTCCGGGGGATTCGGCGCGGGCCCCATCGACGACCGCGGGCGCGGGGCCGAGGGGGGGCCAGCCAGCGGCCGACTGATCTGGGGCTGACGGCGGACTTCGGCCAGGGGCGGGAGTCGCTGCGGGAGCCGAATGCCGAAGGCGACGAACATGCGGCACCTCTTGGTCGAGTCGGAGCTGGCTTTCGGGCTGGCCAGGTCCGCCAGAGGACGGGCCGAGAATTGAGCTGCTTGGGCCACTTCTGCGCCTGCGCGTCGCCCCAGCTGCCGGCCGCGCGCCGAATGCCGTCGGCGGAAGCCGCGCGGACCCGAGGGGGCCCAGCCCGGCGGGGGGTTGCTTGGGACGATGGGGATCAGACCATGGAACGGTTGCAGGTGCGCGGGTGACGTGGCGGGGGGGGGCGCCTTGGACCCGGCGGGCGCTTTGGATTGGGCGGGCCGCCGGTATATCGTGGCCGGCTCTGCCCCCTATCTGGAGACCATGCGGGCCGCTGTGGGCGTCGCGTGGAATGGCGAGCGGGGGGTCGTAGCAGTGGTGGAGCTCCTCTGTCTGGTCGGCTTGGCAGCCGAGTGTGGGCTGGGTGGGGGATGGCATCTCCCGATGCCCCCGTGCGTGACGGACAATCGCAATGTTGGCCTCTGGTTGCGGCGCCGCAGGGCCGGCAATGCGGTGGCGCGGCAGATCTTGCGCATCCCATGACTGCGCTTCAAGGTCTGCCTGATCGACGGGCTCTACCTACGGGCGTGCCGCAGCGAGTTGCCGGACTGCATCGCGCGGGCCCCGCTGGGGGGGGTCCACGTTCGCATGGCCGACGGGGGAGGGGGTGGCTGACGCCCAGCTCGCTCCGGGGCGAATGTGTTGCAGAAGCATTTCGGCGCCAGCTCCGCGTGCAGGGCGATGTGGGCCCGCGGGGAGCTTCGGGTGGAATGGGCGCGTTAGCCGCTGCCCCGCTGAGCGCCCATCCGCGGCGATGGGGCTTCCGTCTTGGAGGCGGGGGCGGCGTGGGGCCCGTTCGGGGACGCTTGGGGTCGCCGGGGGGCGAGGCTTGCCCGGTGGAGTGGCCTGACGGGGGCCCTGCGGGGATGGCCCTGGCGCGGGGAGCGGCCCCGGGGAGTGGCGGCGACGGGCGCGGCTGCGCGGGCTGTGCGCGTTGCCGACCGAGGGCGCGCGGGATGGGCGAGCGGCGTGTCTTCTTGCCCATCGCAGCTCAGGGCAGGCTCCAGGGCGTGCTGCTGGACGGGCCCCGCAATTGCAAATTTGGAGATCGCGGTCAGCGCCTGGCCGGATGCTGGCCTCCCCAGATGGCGCGCCGCGCCCGTTGCGGCAAAATCACGGCCCAGACGCGTGGGGTCTAGCTCTGGCTCAGGGGCGACGGGCCCGGCGAGGGCCGCAGTCTGGGCGCCGCGGGCCAGTCCTGTTCGGGGCCGCGGGGCTTGTTTCAGTTGCTGCGCGAAGCCGACGGGCCCCCGGGCGACCCCCTATTCGGGCTCGGAGACTGGCTGCTGTGCCATCGAAACCCTCAGAGGACAGGGCGCCCCCGTGGCCGATGGGAGTTAAGCGCCCCGTGGGCGGAAGCAAGACCGACCGGGCTATCGCGCGCGACCCGCGCGGGCCACGCTGCGCGTTCCGTGCGACAGAGGACCCCTTTGCGAGGATGTTCGGGCACGCCTGCCGCCGACCTTGCGCCGGCCGGCCGGAGGGCGCGGCCGCTCCACCCCGGGGGCTGCGATGCATTCAGGGCGGCGCGCCTGCCCGCTGGGCTGGGACTGGCTTGGCCGCGGCGGAGAGGGCTCGTTTGGCCGCGGGGGCGCTGCCCGAGCGGGCGGCCCGTTAGGTGCCGCAGTTTGGCGTGCGCGATGTGGCGCTGGGCTGCGAGCGCGGGCCGCGGGGGCGCGACGCGGGCGGGCGCGGCCTGGTGCTCCCGTGACTGCGGGCGTGGCCTGGCGGGTCTTGCGCGGCGGCGGGGGGGGGGCCTTGATGGGGCCCAGAGGGGGGGCCTAAAGGGGCTCTGGGCCGATGAGGCCAGTGGCCGCGCTGGTGCCGCGACTTCCCCGGCGTCCGCGGGCGCGGGGGGCCCGGCGCCAACTGCGGCGGGGGCTGGGGTGGATGTTGGCTTTGGCCCGTTGGGGGCCCGCGGAGTCGCGCTCGCGGGCCCGGCGAAGGCTGAGTCTCGTCGGCGCGCTCGGAGCGCCCTCCTTTGGGCTGGCTTCGTGGCGCGCGGGGCTGGGCAGGCCGCGCCCGCCTGGGCGGGCGGCGGCGGGGCCGGCCGGGCGGTTGCAGCCTGGATTGGCCGCGTCGCGGGGGTGCTATGTTATGCAATCTATTCGCGGGGGCCATGTCTACGAGGTGGCTGGAGGTTGGGGGTTCCGCGGCGCCGTCTGCGAGGCCAGCCCGCGCACTTCGCGGGCGAGACGCGCCGGGCGCGCCTCGCCAACGAGAGGGGCCTCGTCGGGTGCGGGGCGGCGGGCCGCCGCGATCCACCGGCGCGCCCTTGCCATTCGCTGCGCCCGCGCGCTAGCCTGCCGCGGCGACGTGGCCGCGGACAGGCGGCGGCTTGGGCGGCCGTGCAGGGTCGCCTTCGGCGGGGCGGGAAGTTTCGCCGCAAGTTGCCCGCGACGCCGCGGGTGCTGGAGTGGCTCCGAGGCTGCCTGCTGGACCGCGAGGCCATGCCGCGCGGCCGCCGCGACGGTCTGCTTCTTCCCCCGCGTCTCCGAGTACTTTTGGACCTCCAAGGTCGCGGCGCGGGCCGAGCGCGCGCTGGCTCGGTGGCGGCGGAGCCATGTCCGGTCAAGCGCGACTCTGTACGTTGCGAGGGCGCTGGCCGCTCTGCAGGGCGAGTGCCCCGAGCGCTTCGTCCCTGGAGGAGGGGGGGGCGCCCCCGCTCGCCGCGCGGAGGCGCGAGGGGTCCTGGCCCTGGCAGCCTCGGCTGGCGGGGTTGAGGATGCCTTGATTGGAAGCCGCTCCCTCCGCGCCAGAGGGGCCGCGGCCCTCTGCCACTCGGCGCGAGACCTGGGTGCGGTCGAGCGCTTCGGTCGCTGGATCACGGGCGCCTTCCATGGGTGCCCGTTGGGGCATCGCCGTCGCCATCGCGCGGGTTTGGCCAAGGTGCACTCGCGATGGGCCTTTTTCAGCTGCTGCGCTTGGAAGGGGGGGGTCGGGGTTGCGACCTGCGCCGATGGCGCGGTCGAGGTCCAGTGTGCCATCCAGTGCGGGCGCCGTGGAAGCGACCTTCGGTGCTGCGAGGTGGCGGGAATTGCTCGGGAGAGGAGGTGGGCTGGGGCGCCTTGGGTTCCCTCGATTCTTCTTCGCCTTCTCCGGTCCTACAGTCGCGTGGGCTCTCCGCCCCTGGCGCGAGCGGCGCTGGGCGCCGCCGGGCGCGCGAGCTCGCGCGCCGCCCCTCGCCCGCGCGGGGCGCCCGAGGGCGCCCGCCCCGTCGGCCGCGGGGTGGTGGCCCGAGATCATTCGGACAAAGCTCTCAGCGCGGAAGATTCCCAGCCAGGACAGCCCTTTCGCCCCGCCGGCCGCGACGTCGTGCCCGGCCGCCGCCGCCACGGAGGCCTCCGCCCCCGCTGCGGCCCCTCTCGCGCCTCGCGTTGCGCGGCCTAGCTTGCCGCCAGGTCGACCGTCCGCCTCCGCGGCGGCCGCGGCCCCGTTGCCGCTTCGCGCCCGCGCCGCGAGGCCAGGCCCGTGCCCGGGCGGATCGCGACGAGGCGACCCTGGACGGTCGTCCAATGATTACTTGGGTATTTCGGCTGCTCGACAATTTTGTGCTGGGGCGTCCCGCTGGTTCCGTGCCTCGCGCGCTCGCGCGCCGCTGATGCGCTGGCTTCTGGCCTTTCTGTCGTCCGCCCTGTGGCCTTTTCCGGCCCCTGGTGTTGGCCCTGGCCGCCGAGTGGTGCGACTCATGTGGCCGTTGCTACTTGCTACCCTTGGCTGCTTGTTTTTTTCCGTTCCCTGGGTTTTGTCAATGCGTTTAATTGTGTTCGTGCCTTCAACGAGACCCTGCGCTTCCTAGCGTCATTTGTTGTTTCGCGCCTCCTGGCAACACCCGAGATCGTGGCCATGGGGTTCGAGTGATGTCTTCGTCACCCCAACAGTCCAATGCTCTATGTGTGTGGCCCCCCAGGTGCGACGCGCGCACCGAGAAATCTTGTAGTATATGCGTCGTGGCGGGAGCTTTCTGGCCGAACCGCTCGGGAAACGATGTGCCACAACATGTGTATACTATATGTTCGGGTGGGACGCGCGCCTCCAAGGAGGACGTAGTATTAGGACGCCCCTGTGCGTCCCATGATGCCTCCTCGGATGTCTACGTCCCTTTGCTGTGCGCTCCCGTGCTCTGGCACGCACGTTCAAGAAATTCATGCTCTGAGCGTGCTTCGTTCCCCTCCCTCGCCTGTTGTGCCCAAGTCGGCCCCGTAGTTCGGCCACTCGCAGAGGGGGGGGGAGGGGGGAGGGCTTCTTAGAAACTCCCCTGCTTCTTAGAAGACGCGGGCCTTATCTATAGATATGAGGCCGGCGCCTTCTAAAAAACAGCCTCCTTTTCAGAAACTCTCCCCCCTCCCTCCACCCCCTAGTGCGCGCTGCCAACCCCTCTCTCGCCTGTTGTGCCCATGTCGGCCCCGTAGTGTGCTTCGGCTGCTTGCGAAAGCGGCGAGGATCCTCGCCGCCGCGAGCCCCCCCCCCCCCCCCCCCCCCCCAAAAGAGAAATGCGCGCGCCTCAGGCCTCCCTGTCGGCGCAGGACGGCGAGGCGGGAGGAACTGCACGAACGAAGGCGCCAGGGGCCGCGCGAGTGGCGAGGGCCGACGGCGTCATGGCACAGCAAGAAAGGGGAGGGGGACGGGCCAGGAACCACAGGGCAGCCATGGTCGCGCCTCGTGTTGCGCGAGGCCCGAGCAGCTTCGCCCTCCCGCGCCCCCCCTTGGGGGAGAGGGGGGGGGGACGAGGACCACGAGGAAGGAGGAGTCGCGAGCCGCGGGCCGCGAACGAGTCCGAGCCCTCGTGGCCCTCGGTAAAGGGATGGCTCGCAGGAGGAGGGGCTCGCGTCGAGGTGCCAGGCGTCAGTGCTCTCGATGTGTGCTTGGCAGCTCTTTGGGCCCTGCCCGAGCCTCCCGGAAGCCTCGCGTCGCCACGGGTGCCGGGCGCGCCTCGAACTCTCTGCCAGGAGGAAGAAGAACACACAGACACAATTCATCGTCGATCCCTTCGAACATATGGGAAAATATGGGAAGTGGGGGGAAGACAAAAACCCGGAAAATATACGAAAGTATGGGGAATCCTGTTATTTGTGCCTATTTGTTTGTGTGTCCCAGGGCCCCTTCATTTTTGTCAGGAGACACCTCTGGGCACGTCCTCGATCGGTACCCGAGGAGAGGGAAGCAGGTAGAGAGGGTTGGATGGAGAGCGGGAAGGCGTAGGCGGGGAAAGGGGCGGGGTTAAACAGGAGAGGATCCGCAGGTCACATCCATCGCCTTGTTCTGAAGGCTGTCGTTTTCTTGTGGAGGCTACGTGCCGGAGGCAGGAACACTTGGACGAATTGTAACGAGACATAGAGAGAGAGAGAGGGAGAGAGAGAGAGAGAGAGAGAGAGAGAGAGAGAAAGAGAGAGAGAGAGAGAGAGAACGAGAGAAAGAGAGAGAGAGAGAGAGGGAGAAAGAGAAATAATCAGAGAAAGAGAAAAACAGAGAGAGAGAGAGAGAAACAGAGAGGCAGAGAGAGAGAGAGAGAGAGAGTGCGATGGAACGAGAGAGAGGGAGAGAGAGAGGGAGAGAGAGAGAGCTGCTAAGGGGAGGTAGGCGGACAGGAGCACGAGCGCCTGCTGACGGTGCCGTGGAACCTTGAAGGTTCGCCGCAGAGGAACGACCTTCCAGACCTGCCCCTTGTCCGCTGGAAGGCTGCTGCGGACCTTCGACCGAGAGTCACCCAGTCATGAGGCACATTGAGATTACATAAGGCCAAACACGGGCTGCCGATTTGCACAAGCCCATCCAGTCTTGAAGCTGGATTCTCTTGCCTTGTGCTTGGCCGGGCCCGACGAAGACGACGGCGGCGACGACGACGGCCGCGAGCTCTCTCGGGAACCCTTGTGGGCCCTGTTTGCCTCGGGAACCCCCCTGGGCCCTTCCAGGACTTCCGCAAACGATCCCCTCCTGGGACCGCCCCCCTTCGGCGGTGAAGGGATCAAGGGCCTCCCCCTCGACTCGATTGGTGTTCCCCCCCTTGCAGCTCCGTGAGGCCATCGTGGGCCGTTTGGTCGGAGGCGGGGGGGGGGGGTCGCGAACCCCGGGGCCCCCCCGTACCCCCCCTCCCAGTGGGGGGGAGGGGTGGCGTGGGGAGTGGCAACTCCCCCCAAGACCACCCCCACGACCCACCCCCTGCGCGGGGAAGGGATCAAAGGGAGGAGGCTCCTGTTCGACTCGATTGCGACGTCGGGAAGAGGCTTCCCTTCAGTTCGGGTCGGCGGATTTTTCTTGCGCTAAGTGCTGACCCTTGGCCGCGGCAGTCGACAGCGCGCAGCCCTTCTCTGGCCTTAAGGGTGGGAGGGCAGGTTTTCGAGAAGACTAAGATGTGCAAGTTCTTCATCCTGGGCACGCTCTGAGACGAGGGGGAAGGAGGGTGAGGTCACAGGTCTCTCGTTGAGATTCCGCATTTCTGCGCTCCCAGATCACAACCGACTTGAAGCGTTTTCCTATTTCAATAATCGAAGGGGCTTCCTTTTGCCTTCTTTTTCCCTGGGGTTGGCCGAATCCAATCAACTCTAACCGCGTTCTACCTACGTCTGCCGAGGGGCCTCTGGTATAGTGTACTTGCAGGCGTGTGTAGCAGGTTCAGGCGGAATGCGGAGGTGAGCCAGAGGGAAGGGAAGGAGACGGGGAGGGAGAGGGGCAGGGTGAGTTTATCGTGTCCGAGTCTGCCTGTCAGTCTGTCCAACCAGCCTGACAAAACAACAGTTTTTCAGCGTCATCTTGGAATTGCTCCTGGAGGTCATCACCACGGCTCAGCAGATCCTGAAACAGGTTCCCCAGAGGGCTCCAATATGACCCATGACAGCCTCACGACCGCTTTCAAAATAGCTCCAGCAAACACGCAGCGCGGGCATCCCCCAACAGCGCGCAATAATGCGCCCAGAAACGGTGCAGGTCTAGGGAGCACTCAAGACGGCCCTCAATACTTAGTCACGCAACGCACACCACGCATATCATATACACACGAAACACGACACACAGCACAGGGCACACCACGCAATACAACACATGATACACAGCGCACAGCAAGCATCACACAACACAACACAGCGCACACACACACTCACAGAACGCACACAACACCTATAACAAGAAACGCGCACCTCACACAACACGCACACCGCACACGCACAACACACACCACACAACGCACAACACACGACACCCAGCACATACAACATATACAACGAACTTTTTTCACGATTCTTGCGGATTAGAAACAACGGTTTCCGTTCTTGCCTGGTCAGGTTCCCCCACGGCGGTGGTTCCCGTCCGAAGATGTCATTCTGGTGGGCGAGGGAGGGTCAGCATTGATTTGGGCATGCGGTGCCCGAAGCTCTCTAATTCCGTCTTTGTGGCCAAACATTTACAGAACAAGCGTCGTGCTTAAAACTCCCATTGCACTCCTCTGCGACTGCAAAGTAGACGACAACACGTAGGTACACTACCTGTTTTCGACAGTATGTACATCTGGACAGGTGTATGGACATATTTTGCGCATGATTTTAGTATCGTTGTCGGACCAGTCTCAGTCTTTTGCGCCATGTACATCATGAACAGGTGGCACTCAGGATGTGAGAGATTAGCATTCTTCCTCCTGGGACACGACAAGGCAGAGTGAATAATCTGTACGAGCATGGTGACAGTCTTCCTGATGACGCTTGGCGTGCAGAGGAAGCTGAATCGGAGGTCCCTGGAGGCCTCCAAAAGGCCAAGCGCGTCGGAACACCTCCGAAGACCGGTGAGTTGACTACAGGTCTCCCACATGGGAGGAGACCGGCGACGCGGTTGGCCAGCATCCTTTCCAGGGACTTCGCGGCCGTTTGGCGCAGGGTCGGCTGGGCGGCGCAGGCGTGGAGGCGCTGCTGTGGCCGAATCCCTTTGTCCTCCTATGGAAAGGGGTCCTGAGGGAAAGGGGAGGTCTGCGTTTTCTCGAGGGCTCGGTCTCCCCTTGTGGCCGTCAGGAGACGACCCGGGAGGAACAGCTGGTCCCCTGGAGAACGCCCAGGAGTCCAGAACCCGTTTCTCTGAGGGCCCAGTTCCCGTCGTGGCAGTCTTCTCCCTCTTCTCGCATGCCTAGAGGTTGACACCAACACCAATTTCGGCGGGGTTCCTCCCACCGAGGGAAGACGATCCCGATCTCGGTGATGGTGGTCCTATTCTGGCTTCCAGTGTGACCGAAATATTACCGCCAACACCGAAATCTGGGATCATCTTCCCCCTGGTGGAGGCACCGTGTGTTGGTGCTGGTGCCCATTTCCGGGCCTCCAATCTTCGTCGTCTCCTTCTTCCTCCCTTCTCCGCTGCGGCGGCGACGCCCCGAGGGCGGGGCCGCCCCGCGCCCGAGGCTGCTGCACGCGAGGAGACGCGTGCCAGTTCGCCCACGACAAGGAGCGGCGGGGCGAGCCCGGCGGCCCAGGGCTCGGGAGGCCTCGGAGCCTGAGAGACGGGGGTCAGTGCAGACGGGGGTCAGCCAGGGCACCGGATCCTGCAGGATCCTGCGAAGACCCCCTTTGGCTGACCTGGGTTGGCGAGCCGGTCGTGGCCGCGAGGCGGCCGCGCCTCTTGGTTGACCCGGGTTTGCGAAGCCATGCGCTGCAGTTTGTCTGTCCTGCATGTCAGTTTTTTGGTTTCCTGCTGACCGGGGTCTGATTGACCCGGGTTAGCAGATCCCCGAAGGCTCAGCAGGCGGGCGGAAGATTTGTCGATCACAGAGCGCGTTCCACGACTCGCAGAATGCCCACTCGCAAACGTCCCGAAAACTCAGGTCTGCTTCGATGTAATTTGTCGTAGATCCGCCGCGGCGGATCCAGGTCATTTGCGGGGAGTCATTTTGCGAGTGGTGGAGTGCGCTCGTCTAATCGAGCTGATGGTGCTTGCATTTTTTCGGTCCCACCCGGGTCTAGGCTTGGAGTCGGCTGGTGGTCTGAGGTGTCCAGCGTTGGTCCGGGCCAGCAGGAATGGGGGGGGAGGCGGGCTCGAGGTGCTGGGTTCGATGAGGCTTTTTGCGTCATTCGGTCTCCGGGGGCCGTTTTCGAGCCCAGGGACACTCAAACACAGATCCAGGGAGAAGAACTGCACCAGGTGGACCCCGAGGGGTGTCTTGGGACCGATCTTGAGCGGATTTGCCTCAGGAGGGGAAAAACACACAGACACAATTAATCGTCGATCCCGAGGAAAATATGGGAAAATATGGGTTCGTGGGGGGGAAGACAAAGAGTCAGAAAAAGTGGGAAAATATATGGGGGATCCTGTTATTTGTGTGTATTTCTTTGTGTGTCCCAGGGCCCCTTCATTGCCTCCTTCCCCCCTCGGAGTCGACTCTCTCTCGGGGCCCATGCAGCGCAGACCCCCCGGCCGCCTCCAATCCCGCGTCTCGGCCCTGCTCAGCTGCATGCTGCGAGCCTCGAGGTCCAAGGGCAGCACGCGAGCGTGCGTGCAGTTTCTCGTTCGACACTGTGTAGGATCCACACAGCAGACCACAGGAACACGTTCTTCAAGAAAGACAGCATGGCAGCTCAACATATCTATCGTCCAGCCAAACAGAGCATAATATATCATGCATGCTGATCGCTGCTCATTCACATATCTGTGTGTGTGTGTTTGTGTGTGTGTGTGTGTGTCTGGGTATGCGTGTGTTTTTTCGGATGGCTGCGCTGAGCCGTCTCAGCTCTTCGTCGCCTGGCCTCGCTTCCCATGTCGGCACTTCGCGTTCTCGGCCTGCCTTGCTCCTCGTCCTCGCTGGTCCTTCTGGCGGCGCTCTGCCTCGCCTTGTCATCCACGGACTGTCGCGCTGGCCTGTCGGAGTAACCTCTTCGTGTCGCCCCCGGCACACGCCGCCGATGCCCAGCTGCGCGCCTGGCATGGCCGATGCCGCCGCCGATGTCTCTCTCTGTATTTTTGCATGTGTATCGGAGGTTGGGGGGTGAGTCCGACGTGAAACGGAGACCCCCCCTACTGGGAAATCGATTTCGGTTTCGGGTTCGTGTCGTGCGTGCCGTGCGTGCGTGCGGGCGAGGCGAAGCTGCGTGGGCGGGCGAGAGGAAATCCTCATGTGGCTGGGCCGCGGCCGGACCAATTGTTTCTCCTCTGGCGGCCGGTGGCCCGCGGTGTCCTGCTGGTGTCCCGCTGGTGTCCCGGAATCCTCCTGTGGCTGGGCCGCGGCCAGACCAAATGTTTCTCCTCCGGCGGCCGGTGGCCCGCGGTGTCCCGCCGGTGTTCCGCTGGTGTCCCGAAATCGTCCTGTGGCTGGGCCGCGGCTGGACCAAATGACTCCGCCCCACAGGCATCGTCAGAATAACAATCACCACTTTTGCCCATTGCTGCCCCCCTCAACCTCCTTATCACCCGCAGGGTGGTCGAATAGGTATGTATAGATGTATGTGCAAGTTTAGCTGCGTGTATATTGGTATGTATATACTGGTGTTCTTCAACTGATATGATGCTGACTGTCGAGTGCAATCGATGTGGTCCAAGCTAGGCAGTGTATTCCATGCAGTGCGAACGTGTGTGGTCGAAATTGTGTGGATCAAGCCATGTGCTACAGTGTGGTGCAGGATACGTGGTGCAGTCTTCAGCGGATCCCACGGGGCGGGTCCACCCCTTCAGGGGTGGGTGGCGCTTCGAAGATCCTTCGGCTGGTCGCTCTGTGCTGTGTTGGCATCGCCTCGGGGCCGTCTGGGCGACGCCAGGAGTTCCTTTGGGAACATCCGTGATGATTCGTCTGGCGGTGAAGCATCGTGCATGTCAGCGGTTTCGGGTTGTGGTGGGGCCGTTTGTGGGCTTCGGAGCTCCTCGGAGACCCCCTGGGCGCCATCTTGAGCCACTGGCGCTGTGTCGGGCCGTCTCGAAGCCGCTGTGACCCGTCGTCGGTGATCTCGGATACGACTCGGTGCTGATATGTGTCGCATCCGATGATCGGGAGGTCGTCCAGAGCGGTCTAATGTTCCTCTTAATTTGGTTCGGGGGTGGACAGAACCCCCAACAGTGACACGTCGATTAGTGAATTCTCCGTTTTCGGTTCTCGAGAGGGCACCGTGGCCGTTATTTTCAAGGCTTGCGCCCGCCAGGTTTGGGCCTCAGGTCATTTTCACTAAACCACGCTTTACCAAAGGGGGGTCTGCCCATCCCCGATGGGTGTGTTGCCTGTCATCAGCTGCTCACTTTGCCTCTGCTGGCTCTAGTCGAGGGGGCTCCAGGGCGGCCTCGCGCCAGGGGAGGCAGGCGCAGAGGACACACTCATGTCGGCCACCGTCAACCCATGTGGCCGGCGCGCTGCCCGGAGAGAGACGTCGGTTGGATGGCGGAGCGGTGGGAGCTGCCCCGGAATGGACTTGCCTGTTGGCCTCCGTCACGCCAGCCCCAGGCCGCCAGATTGCCATCTCTCTCTCTCTCTCTCTCTCTTTCCATATATATATATATATATATATATGTTTATATGCACGTATATATATATATATATATATTTATACACGGGTTTGTCACATATATATATAGAGATCTATAGATATCAGGCCTCCTCCCATTCTGGCTTCTCTGAGTAGCGTCCCCTCCTCCGCTTCCACGGCCGTGCGGTATGCATTGAGCCATGTGGCAGGTTACGCACCGATGGTTTACGCGTCGGGCAGCCCTTGTTTGATCGGGCGCAGCGATGCTCCAGGGTGCCAAGTTTGCCGTGTACGGCGCCTTGAGATAGCCGAAGGTGCAGGCCCTCTCGGACTCGTGCCGCGTACTTTGAAACGCGAATTGGCGCCAGACTGTGGTGAAACTACATCATTCAGTCCTGCGCGCTCTACATCGTCATAGCCGTTAGCCTCCCCGTTGCGTTCTGCTCGCCAATGGTTCGGGCTACTGTTCTTGCATCCTGCAAATGCCCCCTCTTGGCATGTGGTATAATTGTGGCAGCAATACGTAAGCTTTGATGGATCAGGAGCACCTGGCGAATTTGCCGGACTTGTTTCGCACGAAGCTGTGCCACCCTTGCCTTCAGCATCTTTTGCACTTCATGTTGCCATGCCTCGCCAATTCATACTTTCCCCGTCGGGTGACCGTTAGTGCAGGCATGATGGGACAGCATAGGTCGTGGAAGTCACTATCATGAAAGCAAAGGCTGACAGTTCACGACTTGTAGCCCTTGCGTGAATCGTCGCTGATTGCGAGATGGTTGACGCCGTATGCACGTTTTGCCGAACAAGCATGAGCACACCAGCGGGTCATTATTAGGATTCAGTCGGGCACCCAGGCAAGGACAATGTCAACCACAGGTCTATGTGTGACCATGCTACCTGCTAGTTTTGGATCCTCAGGGTTTGCCCTCCCCCGAGGATGCGTCGTCGCCGCAGGTATTTTCCCCTGTGGTAGAGACATCTGGGTCAGTAAACGAATTCACATCGTGATGCAACGATCTGTGGTGCAAAAGCAAGATGTATCTGCCTCTGTGCGCGTGGGCCGCGGGCACTGCATCCACACTGCTGGATCAGGGTGCCTTCTTGTCGTAAGACGTGATGTCGTGTCCTTCTTCCATTGTGTTCATGACCCTCAGCATCGAGGTTGTTGCGATGTAGCTTGCTACAAAGAAATGTCGAATGGCTCCGTCCACTTCCGCTGGGCCCCCCTCAGATTGCTTGCATGGCCACGCTTGGTTGCCAGGTGGGTTGCTCGCCTGAGCGGTTGGCTGGCAACTCGGCTGACATTGCAATCGATTTGGGCTGTTTGCTGGCTGGCTAATGGCGGGTTGCGCTTGTTTGTAACAATTACAGTCGGTGCGCTGAAGAAGGAATCCTTTTTGTTGGGCAGGGGCTCGGTGTTACTTCAATGTTTCACAGCTTTCCTAAGGTTTCCCTGAGGTTTTCGATAGGAAATTCAAGTTCAACTTATGAAAAACAGGGGCCTCGTTCCTTATTTAGGGTTCCTCAGGTCAGGCCGATGACTGTATCGCGGGATGGCGGCCTCGGGAGCGCGCTTCCGTCGTAATGTGTATGCATGTTTCGAGGCCTCGAGCGCGCGCACCTCTAGCAATGTTGCGAGGATGCGCGGCCTCGAGCCCCGACTCAGAGGGGTCCACAGCCCCCCTCCCCCTGGGCAGCGACGACGACGACGACGACGTCGCCGCCGCCGGCAAACGACGCGGACGCGAGGCGACGACGACGACGACGACGACGACGACGACGACGACGACGACGACGACGACGACGACGACGTCGTCGACGACGACGACGACGACGACGACGACGACGACGACGACGACGACGACGACGACGACGACGACGACAACGACGACGACGACGACGATGATGATGATGATTACGATGATTAAGATGATGATGGTGATGGTGATGGTGATGGTGATGGTGAGGGTGGTGATGTTGGTGGTGGGTGTGATGATGATGATGGTGGTGGCGGTGGTGGTGGTGATGATGATGGTTGTGGTGGTGGTGGTGGCGGTGATGAGGATGCTGATGATGCTGATGATGCTGATGCTGATGTTGATGCTGATGATGATGCTGCTGCTGCTGATGATGATGATGATGATGATGATGATGATGATGATGATGACCTCGACGCCGACGCCGACGCCGCCGACGCCGACGCCGAGGCCGACGACGATGACGACGACGACGCCGACGGAGACGACGACGAGGACGCCTACGACGAAACCGACGACGATCGAGCCCTAGTGGGATGCGGTTAAAGCTGGATCGGTTCCTCGTAGGCTTCTACTTGAGCCTGATCAGGCCGTACAGAGATTCTGTTAGAGCTGGGTCCAGCCTTTGTTTGATTCTAATTTAAAGGCTGCCGCCTCTGCCGCCGACCCCAAAGAAGGCTTTCGAGTTGTTCAGTGGCGTTTCTGGGTGGCTTCGGGCTCTTCGGTTCTCAGGGAAAACCGGAGCTTGCTCAAGTGAGCGCGAGCGCGATTAGCGCTGCATTGCATGTTTCTGCGTTCGCTGCTGTTGCTGCCTGTCTGTTTTCGCACTTCGAGTTTCGACACGCACCCTCTCGCGCGGTCTGTGCCCTATAGGAGGTTCCATCCAAGAAGCTCCCAGATAGTGTCCAAGAGGCTTCCTTAGACATCTTAGCACATTTGGTTGATTTTTGTTTTCTTTTGACGATTTTTGTTTTAGTTTGTAGAATTTTGTTTTAGTTTGCCGATTGTTGTTTTAGTTTGTAGATGTTTGCGTTAGTTTGTCGATTGGTGTTTTAGTTCGTCGGTTGTTGTCGCCCCCTTGTCTAGGCACCGGGGAAAGGGGGCAGGGGGAGGCGATTCCGAAGTATGTCGTGAGGCCTGTTTGTGAACGTGGCGTGATTTAGAAGGGATTATGGCGTCGGGGGTGCGACTATCGAGTAATTTACGAGGGGTCGTGGTCTCTGAGACGCGAATCTTGAGTAATGTACGCGGGATTGTGGCCTCGGGGACGCCCAAGAGTCGCCCAAGAAGGCCCAGGAGGGCCTCAAGACAGCCCCAACGCGGGCCCAAGAGGGGGAGCCCGAACCGCAAATTCGAGTCTGCCGCCCCAAAAAGCTCCCAAGAGGCCCCAAGAGGCCCCCAAGAGGCTTCCAAGAGGGCCGAAGAGGCCCCCAAGAGGCCCAAAAGAGGCCCATAAGAGGCCCAAAAGAGGCCCCCAAACGGCCCCAAGGGGGTGTCGACATTGCTTCCAAGAGGCCCACGAGAAGCGCCCAAGGCGGCTTCGGAGGCCACCAAACGTGGCTCCGACACGGAACCCGAAGCCTCAGAGGGGTTTCCAAGACGGCCCAAACAGGCCACGTATGCAATGGCTTTCGGCCTTGCCCGCAACCGTGAATCCGTGACTGGATTGCGCGTTCCCCGCCTCATGATGGATGTTCGTCAGCATGTCCTGAGAAGCTCTCGGCCCCCATGCAGAAGTTTGGAAGCCCTCTCCCGGGGCCGGCTTTTCAGCCTTCGAGTCGTTGTTCGAGTCGTTCCAGCTTTCCACCCTTCAGGGTGGGGGGTCTCGGAGCAGTTTTTGCAGGGTGAGTGGCCTCTAAGAACTGATGCATAGGTGTTCCAAAAGGCAGAGGCGTGGTGGGGGGGTCCCGGAGCAGGCGTGGTGGGGGGTCCCAGAGCAGGCGTGGTGGGGGGTCCCGGAGCAGGAGCTGATGCATAGGTGTTCCAAAAGGCAGGCGGTGTCAGGCGTGGTGGGGGGGTCCCGGAGCAGGCGTGGTGGGGGGTCCCGGAGCAGGCGTGGTGGGGGGTCCCGGAGCAGTTTTTGCAGGGTGAGTGGCCTCTAAGAGCTGATGCATAGGTGTTCCAACAGGCAGGCTCCAGCCTTTGTTTGATTCTAATAAAGGTGGGTGGAGGCCTAGTATGATTCTGTTAGAGCTAGAAACTAGATCCAACTCCATGCAAATTGTTGCATTAATGCTCGGTCGAGCTTCGATGGGGTCCCATCAAACCTGGCTCCAGGGTGGTGACCATCGTCCTGCAGCGCGACCCCTTGATGGCCAAAGGAGTTGGCCACTCCCAATCTGCGGAGCGCTTCCATTTTGAGACCCGCGCCAGCCGCACGAGGTGGAATATCCAAGAGCAGGGCCGACAAGCTGTGTGCATAGGCATTAGCTGGGCGGTCGGCCGCCAGGATGCTTCTGCGGTGGTTGTGTTCGGACTGGTCCCACTTGCATTCCCAGGTGACAAAAAGCTTCCAGTCCGAGGCACTGAGAGTACCAAGGCCGCTCTGCCACGATATTCTGTAAGGGCCAACTGATCATGGCAGCACAATTACGCCCCGTAGCGGAATCAGGGCGAGACCTTTGAGATCTCTTTCGCCCGCATGGCTTGCGCCACGCGTCGATGGAATTGTGCCAGTTGCACTCAGTCAGCTAGAGCATGACGCCAGCTGCCTGAGCGGAAGATGAGCTGATGGGGAGTGGGGCATAAAAGGACGGGTTCAAGGTGCGGTTCAGACGAGTACCGCCTGGCCCCACACCGCCAGCGTAGGAGGGCGTGCCAGCAGGGTCAGAGCACCTGAACGACAGCACATCCTTGGCAATCCTGCCAGTCGCTGCCACACAGCCACATGAATAACTCGATGTACTTTGGAACTGTGCAGACCGCAGTCAGTGCCGTGTGCAGCTTGATATTGTGATTGTTCCTCGTGCAGTCAAAGTGACATATGTCGTCCGCGTCGTCCTCGTCCGCCCGCTTCTGTCCGCCTCTCCCATGCTGTTGATAGAATCATGATCGAAACCACTCTCTCTCTCTCTCTTGTCTCTCTCTCTCTCTCTTTTTTTGTCTTTCTCTCTCTATCTATATACGTCTCTCTCCCAGCCTCTATCTTCGACGGGACTGGCCTCTTTCAACGGACCTGTCTGTGGAGGTGCCGCTCACTCATCAACACAGGCCGCTGCGACAACGAGGACTGTCGGTACGCGCACAGCAAGGAGGAGCCGCGTGCCTCGTCTACTCGGTATCTCGAGAATCACTACTGGGGATTGGTGGTGATTTGCTTTCCTGCTGCTGTTGCTTTGTCCTTCAGCCCCCAGCCCAGCTGGACAAGTAGGCGGAGACACATGAAAGTGGGACGGATGAGGAGGTGCTGGTGGGGGTGGAAACGAACGGGAAGTTCGGAGGAGAGGCTATACATGGAGAGAGAGAGAGAGAGAGAGAGTGAGGAGAGGAAGAGAGAGAGAGAGAGAGAGAGACACGCAGCTCCCTCCTGATCCTCATGCTCCTTCCTGATCTTCAGACAGGATGAGGCCGCTGGAGGTTGCATGTCGGCACGGGAGCGAAGAGGGGGCCACGCCTCCCCCTGGGCAGACCACTGTGGAGGGCAAGCGGCTTCGTCTGTCCTTCTCTCAGTCAGAGATTTCCTTTTCTCTTTCCCTCCTGAAGACTCGGATGCAACTCCGGGGAGGTCAAATTCTGATTTGGCCCTGGTCCGAAATCCGGCTTACTCTGGCCTAATCCCGCTTAATCTGGCTTGATCCCGCTTAATCCCGCCTAATCTGGCTTAATCCCGCTTATTGCGAGGCCCAATCTGGCGTAGCAGCCCCCTTAATGGGGCTTAATCCTCCTTACTCCTTCCGACGAAAACCTCCCATTAGTTGCCTCCTAATGGAGATTTTGTGTATGTCCGACGCCGGAGCTGCACTACTTCTTCTCCATCCGTGGCTCCCCTTCTCTCCTCGCCTTCGCTCATTCCGCTGGCCCACTTCGCACCACGGGGGCCGCATGGCGATGTGCTCGTACTCACGGGGAACGGGGGGGCCGGCGGGACTGTCCTCGGTTCGATCTCTGGGGACGTGCCTCGCACCCTGTCGAAGAGGGCCGATCGACTGCCCCAGAAGGGCGCCAAGATGGCTCAGGAGAGCTCCAGCAGAGTTTCGAGACGTACCTAAGTTGTGAGTCAGAGTCCTCATGGACGCTTCGTGGGGTCTCTTCGGAGGGCTCTCGGAAGCCTCTGGGGAGCAGTCTTGAGGCCTCGTGGGGGCCTCTTTGAGGCTTCTTGGGGGCCTTGGGGCTTCTTAGGGCTTGTTGGGTGTCTAGGGAGCCTCTTGTGGTGCTTCTTGTGGTGCTTCTTGTGGCCTCTTTGGGGCCTCTTGGGGCCTCTCGGGGGGCTCTCGGGGGCCTCTCGGGGCTTCCTGGGCGCCTCTTGAGGCCAAGAGTTCGAAGTGTCTGTTCGGGTTTCCCTCTGGTCCCCCTCTTGGGGCCATCCTGGGATCGTCTTGGAGGCCTCTTGGGCCGTCTTAGGGCCATCTTGGGCCATTTTGGGGCCCTCTTGGAGGCTGGCTGTGCCGTTTTGGAGCGATCTTGGAGCCTCTTGGGCCGTCCAGGGTGGTCGCAGCTCGAAAAGGCAGTACCGCCAAATCAGTTCGAGCACCCAGAAACAAAGTCATGTTTTTTTTGTTCTTTGTTTTTGTTTTTGCCTTTTCGGGGCCTCTTGAAGTCCTCTTGGAACGTTCCTGGAGCCTCTTCGGCCTTGGGCGGTTCTTGGGCCGTCTTGGATCGCTATTGGCCTGAGGCCGTGGGGCGTGCCACACTTCGGCGCCTCATTGGGGCGCTCGGGGGGGCTCCGAGGCCGCGCCCAGAAGTTTCGGCATCTCTGGCCCGACCTTGCCGGGACCTTGCCAGCACCTTGCCGGGACCTTGCCAGGACCTTGCCTGGACCTTGCTGGGACTTTGCTGGGGTACTAGTCGGCCGTGGACCCCCAGGGACCGCCACGCGCGCGCGCGAACTAGAAGCATTCTTGACTTCTTACTGGGGATTTGAGCGCGCCTCTGGCCCGTTGGGCCGGCGAACTCAAGCGATTCAATGAGACGCCGAGGACCCACAGTGATGTCAGCTTATGATGAACAAGTGAGGCCCACCCCCCGGGCCGCCGCCCGCCGTGCCGCCAAGCCCGCCTCCGCCCCCCCAGCGCACGGCCTCCGCTGCACCCGCCGTCATCGCGGAGTAGGGTAGAGTGGGGTAGGGTGGAGTGGAAAGGAGTGGAGTCGGTTACAGTATGGTAGGGTAGGGCAGGGTCGAGTAGAGTAGGGTCTAGAGCAGGGCGGAGTGGAGTGGGGTAGTGACGAGTAGAGAGTAGGGTCGATGGCGTCCTGGGCCCTTTCGGGGGCTGTTTGAATCTCTGTGAAGCCTTCCCGAGGCAATACCACAGAAAATCACCAGAAGCAATACGCAGCCAATTTCTCCAGATTTGCCTTTCTTTCTGGCTTTTCGGGGCCTCGTTGGATGCCTCTTTGGGCGCCTCTTGGGGGCTTCTGGCTTTGCGTGCTCTCTCTCTCTATCTATATATATGTTTACACATGTTTTAGCCTTTGGGGGGTCTTTGGGCCTTTGTGGGCGCCGTCTGGTGGTCGGTTGTCAAGGTGGTTTTGCAGTGATCTTGGTGCGCTCTTGGCTCGTCTTCGGTGGCACCAGCCTGTAGTGGGCGCGCGCCGAGGAGTGGGTCCGTTCACATGAGATCACCAGAGACCCCGCCAGACGGCTCAACGGGCAATCAAACATGCCCCAATGTGCCGAGGACGCGGTGGCGGATCCGTATCAGTATCTTCATCCTCCTCTTCCGCCCTTCTTGTCCGCCCTTCTTGTCCGTGCTTCCCGCGCACAGGAGCTGCGTGTCGTACCAGGTTTCTCAGGCACCATTGGCAACCCGAAGATCGCAAGCGACGAGGTGCGGCGCCAGCGTGCATGCCGCGAGCTCCGTGCCGTCTTGCCTCGGGGGTAGAAGGCGAACGTCGTGTAAATAGTTACAGCTGGCACGAGGTTTACGAACAATTTTAGTATTGGAGGTGTCCCGTCACGTTCTTCGTGTTTGGCTCTCCACCTTGGACTGCTCCTCTTTTTGAGTATCTCCATGGGGCCTCCAGCTCTTGGCGAAGGGTCCCATGTTCTTGACCCATGTTATTGTGACCATGTTTCGACTGTAGCCGAATGGCCATTGTTAGTTCCTGGAAGTGGACCAGTCTTTTCCCAGGTGGCGCGTCCTCCTCCTCCTCCTCCTCCTCCTCCTCCTCCTTCATCCCCTCCTCCTCCTCCTCCTCCTTCATCTCCTCCTCCATCTCCTCCTCCTCCTCCTCCTCCTCCTCCTCCTCCTCCTGCTCCTCCTCCTCCTCCTCCTCCTCCTCCTCCTCCTCCTCCTCCTCCTCCCCCTCTTCCCCCTCCTCGGGTCGCCTACGGCCCAGGGGGAAACCGTGCAGGTCTGGCTTGGGGGCGGCTTCAGCGGGGCTGGCGCTCCACTCGACGCTGATCCCGGCGTAGACGGTGAGCATATGGCGCACATGGCGCCAGCGCTCTCGGTCGGTTGGCCTGGGGCTGCCACTGTCGGGGGGAGCCCTGCGCCAGCTCGATCACCAGGTTATCGTCCGTCATCTCGTCGTTCTCCTGCACGGTGGATAGGCTGGTCGCTGGCATCTGTGGCTGTGACTGGCGTTGGGCACGCAGGCGAGCGAGGAGTTCTTCCGTCGCCTCCGTTACCCCCTGCTTCTTCAGTCCCGCCTCGGTGTGGGATGCTGCGCCTGCTCGAGCCTGAGTCGCTACGGCGAGATTGACCATCTTGAGTTCCACGGATCTCCATAATGTCCTGCCCACGTACTCTGCCCCGATCTTCACCTAGAGCTGAGCCCGGAGCCTGAATCAGGGCCTCCAACTGACGCCGAGACCCGATGAGGCCGCTGCATCACGGTGAGGCCCCACGAGATCTTTCGGTGGTTGCCTGGGTACATGTCCTGGCCACTCTGCTTGGTCCTGGTCCTGGTAGAGGCCTCTGGATCCTTCTCTCCTGGTATAGGCCACTGTAAGTGTCTGGACAATGACGGTGGTGACCGAGGAAACGGATGATGATGCTGATGACGAGGGGAAAGGGAGTAGTCGCGACTTTCCCTGGAGCTGAACATCTCTGGGGCATGGTCCCCCTTGAGGTGGAACGAATCGGGCGTAAGAAAGGGATGCTTCTTCAAAACAGAGTCCGCGCTCGGGGCGTCCGAATCGTTCAGCTGCTGAACAATGGTGACCATTCGGTGGCCCGAGCCCAGACGGGTCAAGGGAAGCTTGCATTTCAGCGAGTGGGAGGTCATGCAATTGTCTGGCAGATCAGTCACGCACTGCAGAACACGCTCAACATGTGAGGGATGGCGTCTGCCAAGACCGTGGTCTCGATCACTCCCATGACAACTCCCACTGACATCGAGAAAATAGCGCTGGCCACCACCCTGGCTAGCCCTCTGACTCCGTGGGCAGCGCGAGGTTGCTGAGGCTCGCGTGGGGTGGCCGCGAAGTGTGGCCCCAAATCGGCCAGCGCTTGCGACCCCTGGTTGAGGACGGCGAGGCCGACCAGGTCGCTGCCGGCACCCGGGTCGACGAGACCCCGAGGCGGTTTCGACTCCAAGAACACGTCCTGCTGTTCGGCGATCTCCTGCTCTGCCCTGCACCAGGTCGTCAGCGGCGCACGGGAGGCCGTGCCCACGCAGCCCGAGCAAGAGTATCCTGCTGGAGCTCGGCGGTCTCCCCCGCCGCCGGGACCTGACTTCTTCGAGGCTCGGCCCTAGTTGGGGCGCTCGCGGCCACAGTGCCCCTTCTGGTGGCAGAGCTTCCACCCGGCGATCTTCACCAGCTGCTCTGGCGTGAGGCGCGGGCGGCTGCTTGGGCCTCTGCCCGGCGTCGCCGCCAGCTTCAGCTCCCCGTCCTGCTTCCAGGTCCGCTTGCTGCTCTGGGCGCGGTCCGCGATGACGGCCGGAACCTCGTCGCCAACCTGGTTCTCGTGGAGGTCCAGGTCTTCAGGTTCTGCCAGCAGCACCTCGGCGTCCGTCTCGCTGCTTTCTTCCTCGTTACCGTCGGCGTCCTGGTCCTCGTCCTCGTTCGGACTTGCGACACCTGACCAGACCTGGGGTTACGTCGGGCCTGTCTCTCTATAGGGGGGATATTTAAGGATAGTCAAAAAATAGCCTGGGGACGATTTTCTGTCAATTTTTGAGCATCTTTTGAGCATTTATTGAGTCTTTTTATTTTTCGTCCAAAGTCCCCCTGTAGGGGGACAGGCCCGACCTAAACCTGGGGAGGAGAGGAGGAGGAATGCCGAAGGGCCTCGAGGCTCGGATCGTCGGCCTCGCCCGCGGCCGTGGCCCACATAGAGTTGTGGAAGTCGACTAATGGAGAGGAGGCATGCTGCCAAACAATTTCCAGATGTCGAAAACATGTTTCAAACATGTTTTAAACATGTAAAAACATGTTTGAAACATTTATACAACATGTTTTACATATTTTAACCACATTTTTATTCCATGATAGGATTGTTAGAGTGTCCATTGTCATGGCATCCACAAACGTAGAGCCTTTTGCTTGACGTCCCGGGAGAAGCCGCTCAGAACCCGTAGCGTCCATCTGCCCGAGAGCCAGGAGACGCAGTTGAGCTCGAGACGGCCACGCGCGAGTGTCCAGAAATTCTGCATCCCTTGTGCGCTGAGGCCGGCACCTTTCAGGAAGGGAAAGAACACACAGACGCATTTGATCGTCGATTCCCAGGGAAATCTGAAGATACGGGAAGTGATGTGGAAGACGAAAACCTTGAACATATGAGAAAATATGGGGAATCCTGGGATTTGTGTGTGTTTATCTGCGTGCTCCTGGGCCCCTTCAGCCTTCTTCGAGCAGGAGGCTTTTCAATGCCACGTGTCCTGGCCCTCGGCCTCGAGGAACTGGGCCTCCCTCCGGCCAAAGTCCTGCGTGAGCGATGCGTTCTGCTCCCTGACGGCCTCGAAGAGTGCTCACCGTCTGGCTCTCCGAAGCTCATGTCTTTCTCGTTCCCCGATCGTCATGTCCATCATGGCCAGTGCCAGATCTATCCAGCACGCGCTTGTTAGGCTCGGCTTGGGGATGCCATCGAACTTGGGCTGGAGCGACCAGTCGAACAGGCGAAGGAGCTTCTCCCCTCGTCTCCCCATCTGCACGTCTGTGCTATCGTTCCACCGCTTGAGGGCCTTGTGCCGCTGGCGGTGATGCCCCCAACCTGGCCAGGCTGGGGGGTCCGTGTGGCCCCACCTGCCCTGGCCTTCTCGGCCCCAGCGGTCACCGCGCTCCCACCAGGACCAAGAGGGGGGGCTGCCGTCATCGTCCCAGTCGCAGCACTCCTGCCTCTTCCGGCAGTCGCCGTCCTCGTCGGCGTCCTCCCAGTGGCCTCCCTCTTGCTCCTCCGGGGCCCGTCGTCCCCGGAGAGCCGCCGGCCTCATGCTGCTGCCGAGGCCTCCTCCGCGGCGGCTCCCGAGGACGGCGCCGTTGAGGTCACTGCCCGGCCCAGCTGCCACGGGCCGCTCGTGCCCATAGTCTCCTGGACTACGCCCACCACGAGTTCGCGCACCTGTAGGTCGGGCCGGGCACGCCCCCCCTACAGGCGGACTTGGGGGCGAAGAATCTAGAATAGTTAAGATATACTCGCGAATAGAAACAAATGGTAAACAAATCGTCCCCAGACTACTCTTTTGACACTTTTTGCATATCCCTCCTGTATTCGGATGCAACTCCTGGGAAGTCAAATTCTGATTTTGCCCTGGTGCGAAGTCCGGCTTGATCCGCCTTAATCACGCCTAATCCCGCTTAAAATCCAGCTTAATCCGGCTTAACCCTGCTAAATCCGCAGCCCACTCCGGCGTAGCAGCCCCCAAATAGGGCTTCATCCCCTGTAATCCTTCCGACGGAGACCTCCCAGTAGTTGCCTCTCAATGTGGAGGGACACGCCCGACTTGGAGCGTACCCGAGAGCGATGGGTTGCACCAACGTGCCGGCAGCGCCCGCTGGGGCGCCTGGCAGCACCGCTCCCGCCAGGGCGGGGTCGCCCCGGCCGGCCTTCTCGTCTCTCATGGCGCCAACATTCGGGTATGGTTAATTCGGGCGGATTTTAGGCGAAAAATTAAAAATATGCAAACATACCCCCAAGTGGTCAGAAAATGTTAAAGAAATAGTCCCCAGACTATTTTTGGATTTTGTTTTGATTATTTTTGGGGTATTTTTAATTTTTGTCGAAAATCCCCCTGTAGGGGGACACGCCCGACTTAAGGGTATGGCCAGGGCCACAGGTAAGGGGACCCGGTTGGTGGTACGGCTCTGGGACCCCTGAATTGGCCAGAATCACTAACCCAGGTTTGCCGTAGCTGGTGTTTTTTCGGGTGACGGCAGTTCCGGTCAGTGGAACGGGGCGGGGGGGGCGTCCCCCCAGTGCACATCACTAAACCAGGTCCCACTAAACCCGGTTCTGCCAACGTCTCTCATGGCGCCAACATCGCAGAGCGGGTTTATCTCATGGCGCCAACGTCCCCATACAGGGGGGATATTCATAAATAGTCCCCAAAAATAGTCAGGGCACGATTTTTGAGCTTTTCTGATTCTTTTGGGATATTTTTTGATATTTTTTTATTTGTCGTCCAAAATCCGCCTGTAGGGGGACATGCCCGGCCTAATGCTTGACCCGTCGAGCAGTTCAGCTGCGCAGAGCAAATATCATGGCGCCAACATCGCAGAGCGGATTTCGTTCGGAAAACGATAGGATGGGCCCGGAATGTCCTGTAGAATTTCGTTCGGGATTGCGAGGTTGCGGACTTCTTTTGGCCAGGAACGAAGACTAAAAGAAATCCACGGGAAATTCCCTTCGGGTTTCACTCGCCGTTTCGGGGCTTTGCATCGACAGACATCCACGCAAAATCCGCTGCAGCACGCCTGCAAGGTCGGTGCAATGACGTCTCCTCTTTGCTGCTTCATGACGGGGGGGCTTGCACCTGCCGTGGATCTGCGTTTCCAAGCTCGCGCGAGCTCGGCTCTGGTCTGGGGGCTCGCGAGCTGCACGCGCACCGCTCCCTTAGGAGCCTGCGCCGCCGCCCATGGCCGCGCGGACGATCCGAGCTCCGCTACCAACTGTGGCAGCAGCAGGGACAGTCTGTGCTTTCCCTTCGAGCCAAAGTACAGCTTACAGTCGAACACTTTAAGAACTGGTTCATGAGCTAAGCCTGACGTGATATCCTGCCAGCCTGTCACGATAGGGGGCTTGGTTAATCCCTCCCCCACGGGGAAGGAGGAGGTCGGAGGAACAGTCACCACGGCAGGGCGAGACCCTCCTGCGGCTCACTGTGCCATTCCTGTTTTCCCATGGTGCCCCACGGTGGTGATACCCACTCCACTACAGCCATTCTACCTCTTCGGCACGTGGTGGGCTGTTCCTGATGGGGGATCTGCGGGCCGCTGTCTGGAGGTGCCCTGGGAGGGTCCCGCCCCTGGTGGTCAGCCGCTCTTTCTAGCACTGTGGAGGACGATCAATGGAGAGGAAGCATGCTGCCAAATAATTTCCAGATGCCTAAAATATGTTCCAATCATGTTTGAAGCATGTTAAGAACATGCTTGACACATTTTTAGGACGTGTTTTACACATTTCAAGCAGATCTCTAGTTCAATGATGGGATTGTTAGAGTTCCCATTGTCATGGCATCCACAATTCTGGCAGAGGCGTGTCGCCAGAGCTGGGCGATCTCGAGGCTCGCCGCCCATCAGGCGCCCTGCCCAGCGGCTCCAGCCATGCCCTTGCCGAGAAGGCGGTTTACTGCCAGGGTGGAGTCGCCGCTTCCTGACCTAGTTTCAGGAGGAGGAGGAGGAGGAGGAGGAGGAGGAGGAGGAGGAGGAGGAGGGGGATGATGATGAGGAAGAGGCGGAGGCGGAGGAGGAGGAGGAGGAGGAGGGAAGCGGCTACTGCGGCAGGTTTATTTTGTGTTCTGAGGCCGCGCCGCCTGAGCTGGATCGTGTTTCTTTATAGATCGCCTTCCTCTCCCTCTCCCTCTCTCTTCCGCTCTCTCGCACAGACGCTGCGGTTTCATAACCGGAGTGTGGGCAACGCAAAGAAGGAGGAGAGAGGAGGGAGGAGGACGAAGAGGGAGGTGGAGGATGGAGCAGGGAGGAGGGAGTGAGGATACCCATGTGCTCCTGTTGAGACGGCATGCGGAAGCTTCTGATTCCGCTTCCTTTTAGCAAGGTGCCACGGCCAGGAAGGACTCGAAAGCGACCTTGCTGCGACGGCTCTGGGAGACAAACCGCCAGCGCTGGAGGGGGCCAGGGGAGGGCTTGCGTGAGAAGACTCCTCCTTGGCAGGTGCCTCCGCCCCACGCCCCGGGCAGCGGCGTAGTAGGAGAGGCAGCTCAGGGGCTCCCCGCGGTGTGGGGGTGGGAGGGTGGGACAGGCAGGGGGCGCCTGCCAGGGGCTCGTCCGATTCCATCTGCACTGCCATGCCGACGAGGAGCGAGGAGTGGGGAGGGAGGGGGGCGACGGAGGAGGACGACAGGCGCAATGAGATTTTGTCCGCCCGCAGCCGCGTGGGCTCCTTGCTCAATGTAGTAGCTCGCGCGCGCGGGGGGGGGCCGAGGCCGAGGCGGGGCGGGGGCCGCTCGGCGAGCGAGCCCACGGCGACGGCGGCGACGAAGGAGGAGGGGGAGCACTGTTGGGCGTGCAATAGTCGTTTCGATTTTCGGTATACTGTCTGTTCCCTGCTCGGAAACTGGAACATATACATCACCAGTGGTGGGTTGTTTCTTCAATCCCAGGACTTTTTGAGGGTCTGGGACGATTTCGGGGTGCTGTGGTGTATACTTGTCCTTCGTTGTCCAAGGGAAAAGCGAAACATGTATACAGCAGGATCCCGTATACACCAGGATCCGCGTTCCTCTGCGAATTTCAGCGCAGGGTCGGAACAAAAACGTCGGCGTATGGAGTTCGTTTCCCTACCTGCTGCTGCTGCTGCTGCTGCTGCCTGCCGGACCCCTCACGGTGGCGGATCCTGGGGTCGCCCCGACGCCTTTTAGAGGCCACCCGGGATCGTGCACTGATCGTGGGCTCCTCTCTGGGGTCGTCCTGACAGCGTTGTCGGATCGTTTTGGGGCTATCTTCGAACCGTCTTAGGTGCACAGAGTTCCTTTCCCCATTTACGAGACGTGCCAATCGGCTCAGACAAGGCGCCGCTCATCGCCGAGAGCGTTCGGGGTGTGCCTTGATCGCCCCGAACGGCCGCCCGAGGGCCGAGGGATGACCTGCGAGCCACGGGGGGACAGGCCCAGGTCGTGGAAGCGCCTTGCCATCGTCTCGGGACCGTCTGGCGGTCTTGCGCCTTTGCAGTGACGTTTTTCCTGCGATCGAGTCTGACCGGCTGCCCGATCTTACTGTTCGGGACCCACGCGGGCAATCATGCACCGAGGCGCTCGTGCTGCGGGAGGGGTGATTATATCTGCTAGCTGCGATCTCCGTCATGTAAGTTACCCCATGTCTTCCGTTCACGTCGGACCACGCAAGGGTTGCCCGCGGGCGGCGCACTGAGCGGCAGCGTGTGCGCATGCTCGGCTCGTTTGCGCTGCCGTTCTTGTTCAACGCCTGGCCTGCCTGTAGATGAGCGCGTGGGCTCCTTGACTCTCGCAGAGGACGCGCCGCTGCTTGCGATTGCTCACTCCCGCGCGCAGGTACGCCACGCGACGCCAAACAGCAATGATAGCGGACTGACCTGCTGTGAGAGAGGGCAGTTTCTTCGAGAGAGGGGCGAGGCCTCGCCCCTCCATGGTTGAAGTGAGAGTCCAGCGGCCTCCGAAGGGGGGGCCAGGGGGTCACGGCATGAGAGGCAGGGATACTTGCCTTCCCTGTGCTTCTTCTCCCCTGGGGGACCGCCTCCCTCCATGGGCCATCGCCCGGGCCGTCTCTGGCCTCAGAACGTCGGGCGAGAGGTCGCGAAGCCTGCTGCTCTGGGCAAGCATAGCTGCGACCCATCAGGAATAGCTCTGACAGCCTTGCTGCTTGCACGGCCGCTCCTCCGCACGTTCATGCACGTCGCTCTCGGATGCCTCTCCGCCGCGCTTCTTCCATTCCCCCCCGCCCCCACGGGCAGCGACCGGGCAGGCTTGCCATCACCGCTGTGCAGAGAGGCGTCCGGCGGCCCCCTGCAATGGCGGCGGCCGCCGCGGCCCGGCTTCTGGCCGTCGCGGCGGCGGTCTTCGGCAAGGCGCGCCAGCGCGAATCTCATTTGGTGGAAGTCTGTTATTATCGGCAAGCAGTGTTTGCACGGAGGGTGTTCTCATTGGCGTCTCTGACCTCGCGTGGCGCCGATGGTCTTCTTCCCCGACTGTCTCCTGACCTCGCGCGTCCCGAATTCTTGACGCTACGCGTATCCCCACCAGTCCTAATTAGATCGGCCCGTGGCCCGGACCTTTCAACTCGGCGCCTGCGCTTGCGCTTGCGCCCGCGAGGAAAAAGTATCCCCACCAGCCCATCGAGGGGCAGGGCTGGACCTAAACGGTGTTTTTGGTGATTTCGTGGGCCATTTTCGTTTCGACTTTGTTTTGCGGCAAAGGTGGATTCGAGACAAAAGCGAGGGATAACGACAATAAAACGAAAACGAAAAACACCGTTTAGGATCAGCCCTGTCGAGGGGCCTTGATCAGGAACGTGAAAGAGCAAGTAGCAAAACACGGAGGGGGGGCAGCCGTCAGGGGGTCAAATATAAATGCCTTCGCGGATCTTTCGACATCGGAACCTCTAGGCTTGTTGAAATCGATTAACCGAGAGGAAGCATGCTGCCGAATAATTTCCAGATGTCTCAAACATGTTTCAAACATGTTTCAAATATGCAAAGACGTGTTAATGAAACATTTTTAGATCGTGTTTTACACATTTTAGACACATCTCGAATTCAATGATAGGATTGTTCGAGTGTCCATTGTCATGGCATCCACATCTCTAGGCAGCTTACCTGCTCGCCATCTGGGGGCTCTCTTGGGGCCCTCCTCGGAGTTTCGGGGGTCTGCAGGGCCCTCCTGGGCCCGATTGGGGCTTATTTGGGGATTCGGAGTCCATCGATCCAATAAGGGGGAGGTGGGAATTATAGCCTCCACTTTTTGGCTCGAGAAGATGCCTCTTGAGCTTCTCTTGGGCCGCTCTTTGAGCGCTCTTGGTCGCTCTTGAGGCCGTCTCGGAGTGCTCCTGGGCCCCGCATTGCGCTCTCGTGGGCCATGTTGGATCCATCTCCAGGCTTCCACAGACCATCGGAAGCGAACAGGAGAGAATGCAACACACATTGTCTCTTTAGGTCTTGTGCCGATTTATGTCTCTAAAGGATACCCTTGGAAGGCTCAGTGGTCACTTGGAGCCATCTTGGGGCGGTCTTGCGGCTGTTGGAACATATTGAAAACCATATGGAGCGACCTTGCACTGATTACGTATATCGTTCCATCTTGGAGGCCGTCTCTGGCTGTCTGCAGCCTCGCCTCCTATCGCGATACCGCTGCCTCGAGAAACTCCGGAAGACGAGCGCAGGCTGTTGCGCGGCGGCCGGCAGCTCGATGGAAGGTGCCGAAGGGTAGCGTTTGCACAGCTTACTTCACCCGCCGCCGCCCCGACTCCAGGCCGAGGGCGGCCTCTCGCCCGTGGAGCGCGTGATCAAGAAGGAAACGGGGGTAGGGCGGCGGCGGCCCTCTGCTCAGGCTGGACATGCGCGCGCGCGGGGTTCGAGCTGGGGTGCCCGCTGGCCTCCGTGCTCGTGCGGACATGCCCGCCGACGCCGACGCTCGCGGCGCGCAGTTCCAAAGCTGGCCAGGCGAGCCCCTCGTGACTTCGACGACGTCGCTCGTTCCGCGAATGTGTTCTGCGAACCGATAGCCCGCGGGCGACGCGCCAAATTTCGATCAGTCGAGGGTGCGCGCGCGGATCCTGGACATTCTTGCCGAGTGTATGCCGTCCTCGGAGGCCGCGACTCCCTCGCCGCGGGCAGCCTTCAGCGCGCTGTTGCTCGGCCGCCGCGTTTATGACGGGTCGGCCGGACGGAGCGTCGGGCGCCTTCGCAGCGTGGGGCAGACCTCTTTATCTAAGACCGCGGTGAGAGGGCCATGGCTTTTGGAGATAGCTAGCACCTGCCCATGCGCGCCATTTTCTCGGAGACAGCTTTTTTGGTTTGCTCTTCGACGAGGATGAGCTTCGGCATCGCCTCGACGGGTGTGACATCGCCCCGCCGGTCTCTTGTGCTCAACAGGAGGATTGGCTTGCGCCGGATCAAGCTGCCCCACTCGAAGGGCATGCTGGTGCACCCCGAGGAGGGGGGGCGCCTCGATGGCGTCGGGGTCTTTTATGTGGCCAAGAAGAGCGACCAGCTCCTCCGAATCGTGGGCGCGCGGAGGAGCAACCTCCATTTCACCTCGCCCCCCGGCGTCTCGCTGGTCACCGCCGAGGACCTCGCTTGGGTGGAGGTCGAGCTCGACGGGGCCCCCGTCGGCGCGGAGCCGCGGGGGGGTTTCGCGCTGGGGGCGTCCGGTATCAGCGACACCTTCGGCGCGTCAGGATCGACCGGGGCTGTCGGGCGACTTCTGCCTGCGGACCGTGCATGCTGGCGAGGTTTGCATGGCGGGCGTTTCGCTGGGCGTCCGCTGCTTGGCCGCCTGCGCGGCGCTGCTCGCGGGCCTCGCCTGGTCGCATTACTTTTGCCAGGAGGTGTGTGTTGGGGGGGGGGGGGCGCGATGGGTGCAACTCTTGAGCTCGAGAGGGTCCACCGCGTGAGTGGCCGCGGCGCCGCCGCGGTGCTGCGGCCAGATCGCTCGCTGGCCGTGGGCGGCGGCGCCCAGTGCGTGTGCGTCGACGACCTGGGCGTGATGCCGCTTGGCGTGGATGCCGCGGCCAGGGGCCTCTCGTCGGAGACCGAGCGCTTCGACGCCGTCGGCCTCGAGGCCCATGGCGCCGAGATCTAGAGGGGCCGCGGCGAGACGCAGGGCTGCGCCCTGGGCGGCAGGGCCGCGGGCGCCAGGCTGGCGGCCAAGCGCTACTGGCGAGTGCGGCAAGGGCTCAGCTGGGTCCTCAGCGACAGGGCCCTCCCTGGCCGGGTCTGAGAGGTGGTAGTCGGACACTGCGCCCGCTGCGCCATGTGCAGCCGGGGCCTGCTGCCAGCCTTCAACGCCACCTACAAGTTCATCTCCGCCAACTACAGCCAGGGGGCCGCTTTGTGGCCAGCCGCCTGGGCGGAACTGGGTGGTTTTCAGAGGCCTGGTGCCGCCGCTGCGGGGCGACTGGGCGCTGCCGCGGGGCCATTTTGTTTGCTCGTCGGGCGCCTCGGAGCACGGCGGCGACGTGAGCGCCTCGCTCTGTGATCAGGGCGCGGTGGAGGAGATAGGGCGCGTCGAGGCGCCGTCCCGCTTCGGGCCCCATCTCCTTGCAACAGGAGGTCTCCAGATGACGGGCGACGGCGCCCTGGTGGCGGCGTCGGAGCTGGAGGGGGGCGACGAGATCGCCCCGTAGGTCGAGTGGGGGGTGGGCCCGTCCTTCGTGGAGACGCCAGCGGACAGGTTTTCGGGGCCCCGCTGGGCGGAGCTAGTCGCCCGAGGGTGGCTTGCTACAGTGGGGGGCGTTCTGGTTTACGAGTCGCGCGCCCTCCTGCGCGCGGCGCAGATGCGGCGCAGCCCGTCCCCGAGCGTTGCAGAACACGTAGTTGCCATGTGCGACGACCTGCTTGCTGTGTTTCGTTTCGAGACGCGGAGGGCCGACAACTTCATTGTCCTATTCTGCATTCGTTGGGCCGTCGCCCTCTGCCTCTCTCTGAGTCAACGCCTGCGTGTGCGATGGGTAACTGGCGTGCTCAACCCGAGTGACGAGGGCTCCAGGCTCTTCGGCCCGAGCTACGACCCCTCTAAGACCTTGGCCAATTCCTTGGGGCTCGCCGCGTAGCGGTAGCAACGCAGTGAAACGTGCAGCAACATAGCGCGCGGCATGATAAAGCACGACATTGTAAGAGCGTATCAGAGCAATCATCACCAGAGACATATCAGCAACAATGACGTCAGCAAGATGAGCGAGCCTGACAGCGGCGATGCAGCTACAGCGGCCTGGGCACCAGTCCAGCAGCAACGACAGCAAGAGCAGCCTGCAGCGCGGGCCGCGGCAGGTTCTCCAGCTTTCGGAGGGCACCCCACAGGTGCCGCAGCGCTTTCTCCCGAGCCCCCGCCCCCGCATGCGTCCTGTGGCTCGGAACGGGCCCCCTGTTGGGCTCGCCCTGCCACTTCCAGTGGCCAGGGCCCTCGGCGCCGATGAGCCGGCGTCGGTCGCTGGCGCCGCCGGGGGCGGGCGGCGGCGGGCCCGCGCCGGGCGCGACGGCGCGGCCTGCCGAGCTCTCGCGAACCATGTCGCCAGCTGCGCCAGCCCTCGGCCGCCGACCTGCCTCCCGGGGCCGCGGGCCCCTCGCGGCGGAGGCGCGCGCTGGGGCCGCCCGAGGGCGTCGCCCAAAGGCTCCGCGGACCGCCGCCTTCGCGGTCGGCGGACGACGGCCGCTGGAGCCCGCCCGGAGGCGATCGGCGGCGCGGCGGAGCGCGCTGGCGGCGAGAGCGACGCCGCCGCCGAGCCAGAGTGCGGGCGAGATGTAGCCCGGGCCCGCCAGCTGCGGCGCGCCGCCAGACATCGGGCAGCCGCGGCTGCGCGCGCCCGCGCCTCCCCGACCATGGGGGCTCGCCCTGCTGGGGCGCTCGGCTGTCGGGCGGGGCGCGGAGGAGTGGTGCCGGCTCGAGCTTGAGACCTTCATGATGGGGTCCTCCAGCGGGCGCCAGATCGTCGCGGACAGCGAGGTGGTCGATGCGCTCGTTCGCTACGTGAACAACGCCGGCCCCTGAGGCTTGCTGCTGTCGGTCCTGCTGCGCTTCCAGCCGCAGTGCGGGGGTCTTGGAAGCTCGCGACTTCCCCGGGCCCGGCGCTTCCTGAAGGGCTGGCGCCGCCGCTGTGGACGACGGTTGCGCGACCCAGTCGTGGGGGTGAGATGCTCTGCCTTGATTTGGGGCCTGCGCCGCCGCGGCTCCCAGATGATGGCTTGGGTGGTTGCTGCCTGCAGCGGGCTTGCCCAGCCCCCGGCCGTCCGGCGCCGAGACCAGGTCAAGCCCGTGATCAGGGGCCGAAGCGATTGGGCAGTGGCCCTCCTCCTCGGCCGCCAGGCCGCCGCGCGTGCTGGGCGTGGGGGTCAGCTTGACCGGCGAGCTTTGC